GTTCTTTTCTTGGAGCTCTTATAACTCCTCTCATAAGTGTGTCTGCTAACACTTAAGGGTGGAGCATCGAAAGTCTGATTGGAAGTGTCTGTGCATCCCATTCAGGTATACAGGAAGACTTGTTGCTCATGAGCATCTGTGCACAGTGATCTGGCTGAGAACCTCATATATCATCGCCTATAGGCTCCTCTCAGCGGGGTCAGACAGTGGGACTGACCATCTCTGGCCTGGCACAAGCAATCCCCTTTTCCATGTGGTTTCCCCACTGCTGCCTTAGCATCTATCCTCTAGTGTGTGTTGTATATATGTGGTGTGTGGGTACATTTGTGGTGTATGTGGTATGTTTGGGAGGTGTGTGTGGTATTTGTGGTATGTGTGGTGTATGGTGTGTGTGGCGTTTGTGGTATGTTGTGTGTATGTTGTGTATATGGTATATGAGTGTGTGTGTGTGTGAATATGCAATCAAGCCCAGAGCCTCACATACGATGGGCAAGCATTCTACCACTGAGCCACACTCCCAGACCGAAGCTTCCTGATATATTTGCTCTTATCTCTCCTCTTCTGTTTCCCTGTCTTTGTGGACATGACTTTAAAAAAACCTTTGCTATAGTTTTAGTGGGTTTCCAGTAGAACAAATTTATATGCATGTGTTCCACCTTCCATTTTTATCCAGTAACTTCAAATAGACTTTAACTATCTTTAAACAGTAGTTTAAAATACATATATACACACATATGTTCTATATATCAAGTTTCTGATTTCATCAAAACAGGCTTTTCTGACAATTGAACAGTTTTATAACAAAAAGTTGTAATGAAGTTTAACTTATAAAGTAAATGTATACCATTAGGATGTTACGTTTATTTGTTTTAGAAGATGATGTTCTGCATAAAGCTTTGCTTTAAAAAAGAAGACTGGCAGTTTAAAAAAAAAAAAAAAGTTTGTAACCTTTCCTGGGCTACTGATCCCCAGAGTGTGGTCGTTGAGTTGTGGTGAAGGTGTTGACAGTTGGCCACTGATCTGCCCATGGGATAGGGCCTCCCTCAGAAGGACTCATATTTGTAAAGGGAGCCTCCCAGCCCCAAAGGACAAGGTGTGAAGAAGACTTGCCACTCAAAAGAGGAACAGCTGTTTCCTTACACCCTCCAATGCCACCCTAACTTCTAACCCTTTACATAGTCTAACCACAGTCCCTCCATAGTTTTGAGCATCATTGCATTTTTAAGAAATCAGTTTTATTGAGGTCTAATTTACATATAATAAAATTCACCCATTTTAAGTATACAATATAATGAATTTTCACAAATGTATACAATCACATGACTATCACCATAATCATAATATGAAACATCTTCTTCACTCAAAAACTTTTTTTTTTGGTGGTTCAGTGGTTGCTAGGCTGACTCTCTGGCACTAAACCCACACCCCCAGCCTTTTTGGTTTTTTGCTTTATTTTTTAGGTAGGGTCTGGCATTTTTCCTGGGGCCAGCTTCTCCTCCAACCATAATCTTTTTACCTATACCTCCCATGTAACTGTGATTACAGGTGCACCCCACTACACCTGGCTTTTTTTTTTTTTTTTGATGTTAGTTATTGGGGTTTGAACTCAAGTTTTGAGTTTTCTAGACGGGTGCTCTATCACTTGAGTCACACCTCCAGCCCAAAACCTGGCTTATTATTCAGATGGGGTCTTGTCAACTTTTTACTTGGGCTGGCCTCAAGCTGCTCCCAATCTCTGCTTCCTAAGTAGCTGGAATTACAGGCATGAGCCACCTGCCTGAACCTCAAAAACTTTCTTGTGCCCTTTTACAGTCAAACTTCCCTTCTGTCACCCAGCTCCTGGCATCTACTGATCTGCTTTCTGCTACTATCCTTTTGCCTTTCTGTATTTTCATACAGTTTGTAGGAGTTTGTATCTGGTTTCCTTTAGTTAATATAATGCTTTTGAAACTATTCATGTTGTTTGCATATATAAGTAGTTCTTTTTTTTTTTTTTTTTTCTGTACTGGGGCTTGAACTCAGGGCCTTCACCTTGAGCCACTACACCAGCCCTATTTTTGTGAAGGGTTTTTCAAGGTAGGGTCTCACAAACTGTTTGCCCAGGCTGGCTTCAAACCACAATCCTCCTGATCTCTGCTTCCTGAGTAGCTAGGATTACAGGCATGAGCCACCAGCATCTAGCTTCATTTATTGTTTTATTGGTTTGTTTTGGTGGTACTGGGGTTTGAACTTGAGGCCTCAAGCTTGCTAGGCAGGCATTCTACCTCTTGAGCCACCCTCCCATCCCTTTTTTGTGTTGGGTACTGTTGAGATAGGGTCTCACAAACTATTTGCCTGGACTGGCTTCAAACAGCAACCTTCCTGATCTCTGCCTCTCGAGTAGCTTGGATTATAGGCATGAGCCACCAGCACCTCGCTATTCTCCTTTTACTTTTAATGTATATATGCATTTTTACTCAAAGTGTGTTTCATGTAGACAGAATATAGTTTGGGATTGAGTTTTTCTTTTGCTTTTTGTTTTTTTTGGCAGCACTGGGGTTTGAACTCAGAGCCTCTCTCTTGCTAGGCAAGTGCTCTTACCGCTTGAGCCACTCTGCCAGCCCTAGTGTTGGATTTTTCTTAACTGAATCTTACAAACTCTTTATTTTGATTGATTTATTTAGGTCATTTACATGTACTCTAACTATCAGTTGGAGTTAAAAGAAAATGGAGAGTAGGGGGCAAGAGGGAGGAGGAGGAGGGAGGAGGAATGACCCAAATATTATATACACATATGAATAAAATAAAAATTAAAAAAAAGAGAAGAAGATGGAGAAAGAGGGAAGAAAAAAAGATCCCAGATTAGGAGTCAAGAAACCAGGTTGGAGTCCTAACTGTACTTCCCAGATATACACAGACAAAACTCATCACCTTAAGCTGGATGATAAATGTTTGTGAGGATAATTAAGTTATTTGGGACTGAGGGTGTAGCCCAGTGATAGAGCATTTGCCTAGCATGCACAAGTCCCTCAGATTGATCCCCAGCACCAAAGAAGGAAGGAAGGAGAAAAGAAAAAGAATAAATAAATCATTTGTAAACTACATGTTCTAAAGGATTAAAAGACCATCCAGGCTGGGTGGGTGGCTCATGCCTATAATCCTAGCTATTCAGGAGGCAGAAATCAGGAGGATCTTGGTTTGAAGCCAGCCCAATGCAAATAGTTTGAGAGACCCTCTCTTGAAAATATGCAACACAAAACTCTGGCAGAGTGGCAGAGTGGCTCAAGTGGTAGAGTGCCTGCCTAGCAAGCATGAAGCTCTGAGTTCAAACCCTAGTACCACCAAAAATAAAAAAGTAAAAACAATAATAAGGGACAATCCAGGACCAGATTTATAGATAGACAAATATCCAGGTTGTGAGGGCCTCAAAGACAAACTAGGTCTCACTGGTTTCTGTATTGCCAGCACTTAGCTTCATGCCAGGGACCCAGAATGTTGCTAAGGGTAAGTGTTTGTTGAGCAAATGAGAAATGAGCCAATAAAAGAATTAACTTTGAATAAATGAAGGAATGACAATATATGAAAGACAGGTGAGCATTAAGTGACAAGTTATTAAGTGGCCATGATACTGGTAAGCACTGGACTTGCAGTGTTTAATTCTTTACTTATTAGATGGTAATATTTTTAGTAGCAAGGAAGAATAATTTGCATGTATATGTATTTGCGTTTACATATTCATTCATTCAACAAGTGCTTAGTAAGCGCCTGTATGAGCCAGGTATAGTTCTAGGTTCTGGGCATACAGTGATATTTTTTTGTTTTTTATTTGTTTGTTTTGTGGCTCTGAGGACTGAACTCAAGGCCTCAAGCTTGCTAGGCAAGTACTGCGCCTCTTGAGCCATGCCCCTTAGACCTTTTGGTTTTGTTTTTCAGATAGGGTCTTGTGTTTACATTGTGTGGTTGGCCTCAAATTAAGGTCCTTCTACTCTGCCTTGAAAGTAGCTGGGATTACAGATGTGCATCACCACATCTGGCTTATGTTCATTTGTTTTAAAAATTTCTCTTGCTGGGGCAATGGCTCAAGTGCTAGCAAGTTCAAGGCCATGAGATCCCAGGACTGCCAAAACAACAACAACAACAACAAAACACCATCTCCTGCCATGATTTCAGTAGTAAAAGTGTTGATTGCACCTTGGTTCTCAGGACAAATGCCAACATCTTCCCATTCAGTTATTGACTCTAATTTTTAAGAAAATTTAAAAGTTTTCTTTGGGAAAATATGTTGGCCAACTTTCTACTCTATACTATTATGTTACTATAACAAAATACCTGAGATAACTAACTTAGAAAAAGTTTATTTTGGCTCACAGTTAAAATCTTAGTCCATGACCCAGTACCCCTCTTGCTTTTGGTGGGGTACCACGTAGCAATGGCAGGAAATGTGTGGTAATGCAAAAGCACTTATATCAAACCAGGGAGCAAAGAGGAACAAAGATGGGACTAGGATCACATAATCCTTTTCTAGGGCACATCCCCAATAACCTAACGCTCTTCCACAAGGCCCTACCTCCCAAAGGTTCTACCATGGCACCATATTGGGTACCAAGACTTTCACACAGGACCTTTGGGGACAGTCAAGATTCAAACTCTAGCAGAAAGTTAACTTTTTCTAATTGATTTTTCCTGTTTTTAACCATTGATATTTAGTTTGGAAGCATAATATTTAATGATTTTTAAAAATCAACAGGTCAAGTAAATAATTGTACTAAGGGATAAAAAAGCCAGATAACCAGGCAGATAGATGGCAGGAAGTGTAATCTTCTAATTCTGATGATGTCACTGGGGAAAAAGGGTCAGTTGGAACCTGGTGTCTTAACAGTTACTAGAGGAACTGTGGCTGGGCAGAGGGTATCCAGGAGCCACTGGGGGGGTGGGGAGGTTAACCCCCAAAGCTGCCAACACTGTGTCCAGACCAGATACCAGAGACACGGGGCCTCTTGGGACTGACAGTGTTATCCAGAATGGAGAATGACAACCCCACACAGTTGGTGACTCCTGCATCAGTGAAGGCCATCATCTCAAGGATTGAGGCTGCCCAGCTAACTCGGGCTCAGGAGGTAACCCATGAGATGAGGGGGCACCCTTCTATGATGGTCTGTTGTAGATATTCAGACTGACACAGGTTTAAGCAAGATTGCAGCCCTGCACCCTCAGGTCCTAGGATACTTGGCAACCTGGGTTTGCAGACAGTTGAGTGCAAAATACCCAGGTGCTAAATTTGTCTGGAATCAACCATCCTCTTCCCCACCCCCCACCCTGTGAGACAGAACTTGGACAAGGAAGGGAACAGCTCACAGGCTAAGTAGGCAGGAAGCTGTGGGATAGCCTATAGAGGTGGGTACTAGGAGGGCAGGAAGAGGAGCCTAGAATGTTTGATTCAGGGTCTGTGCCAGAATCCCCCAAGCAGAGCCCTGGAAGCACTCAGGGGTCATTTTCAAAGCCTCAGCTCTCCCCATATGAGGCTCTAGTAAGATATTTACTTGAACCTTTGATCCTGAGGGCCTCACTTTTCCATGTTGCCACTGGATGCTTGTGACAAGGGATATCTAGAAATCCCCAGCAAGTTCTGAAATTCTGAAGAAATGTTCGCTGTGCATATTTAGTATAATTGACCTTAATAATCAAAATAATAGAAAAGAAAATGCTCTTGCTATGTGCCAGGCACTGTTGCAAGCACTTTTAGAAATATTGATTTATTGAACCCTGTGATAAAAATCCTGTGATAAAAGTACTAAAATGATCTTCGCTTTACCATAAAAAAAAAAACAAACAAAAACAAAACCCTGAGACCTTAAGAGTTTAGTGACCTGTCTAAGGGAACACTGCTAGCACGTAGCATCTGGCTCCAGAGTCTATACCTGTAAGCACTATCTATAATCTGCTGCCTTCCATATAGGATATTTCCACTCAGCTTTCAGACATATTGGGCAATGTCAGTTCTGTCATCAACCACTTCCAGGAAGAATTAGGATATGATTTAAAAGAAAAGGTGAAATTTCACCAGACAGAGCAAAAAGGCAAGAAGAGATTCATCTTGCTGAAGAAAATTGCCTCCTTCTCCAAAGATGCTAAGATGAAAGAGAAGCACCTGCATGAAATCTTGTGCTGGTTGGGGGACTGGGGTGAGTATGGGATGAGGCCCAGCCCTGAGGCAGGGTGCCTTCCCCTAAATTGCTGATGACAGCTCACCCAGTCTCCTTTATCTCCTCATCAGCATTTGCGGGGAGGGAAGGGGAGTTTGGATGGTATATGCTAGGATAGTGAAGGACACATTCCACAATGTCCCTCCCCAAGAAAACATTCTATCTCCACTCCCCCCAGGAGCTGTGTGAGTCAGACTTTTCACTGCTCTGACAAGTACCTGAGAAGTTCAATTTAAAGGGCAAAAAATTTATTTTGGTTCACAGTTTCAGAGGTGTTAGTCCATGGTTCCTTGGCCCTATTGCTTTAGGCCGGAGGCAAGGCTGAACATCATGGTGGTTGGAAGTGTAGCACAGGAGGATGCTCACTTTATGGCAGCTAGGGGCCAGGGCCAAGATATACCCTTCAAAAGTACAGCCCCATGACCTACTTCCTCCAACAAGGCCCCACATTACACAGTTGCACTATCTCCCACTAGTTTGTTTAAAATTTGAATCCATCAATGGACTAATCTATTTATTAAGTCAGAACCCTCAGGATCTAATCCTCTCCAGAAATACCTTCACAGTCACCCAGAAGTGTGCTTTCCTAACCTCCTAGGTGGCTCTCAGTCTAATCAAGTTGACAATCAAGATTAGCCATTATAGGGGCAAACATATAATTGTCTAAAACGTAACAGATCTCAACATTCATTGAATACATGATGAAACCCAAGTCTTGGGTCAGTTACAACAGCTTGTTTTTTAGCAAGGTAGAAATGAATTCAAGCCCACACTAGCTATTTTAGAGAGAATCCCAGGGTGATATTCAAAGCACTGAATAATTCTTACTGCGTGGGAACTGATGCTAGTCATATGCAACTAGCACAGCCATTCGGGTGTAGACCAACTATGTACAATGCTGAAGCCAGGTGCTACCCCACTCAGATCAGAGTCACCTTGTCACGGGACCTGCGTAGTGGGAGGTGTACTAGATGCTGCAGTGTTAGGTGAAGAAGGTACAGGGATGTGCCTTACCCACCTCACACTGCCGTTGTCCAGGGAGCTCTCAGTTCAGTGGTCCATCAGCTACTCTCAAGAACTAACAGAGTTGTCTGGGCATGATGGTGTGTGCCTGTAATCCCAGAATTTGAGAGGCTGAGGAAGGATATTTAGGAGTTTGAGGCCAGTGTGGGTTACATAGTGAGTCTCTGTTTCCTAAACAAATAACTAAGAGATCCGTCAACTCCATTTAATTCATTTAATTGCACACATGTTGGACTAGGCAATGGGTATAGAATAATGACAAGACAGACATCTCTCTGGTCTCATAGTAAAACAATAATATTTAATGTCTATTATGCATTTCTACATGGCAGGCCTCATGTTAATCATTTGACATTTATTATCTCATTTAATTCTCACCCAACCCCTTTACAAGGAAGGAAATTGAGGCTCAGGAGAATAAGCAACCCTCTCAATATCACAGAGTTAAGTACAGGTGAAACCAGCCTGACCTCAGAGTCCCTGGTGTTAGGCTGGTTGGGGCTCCCTAGAGGACAACTGTCCTCAGCCTGCCCTTGCTGTTCCTTGTCCAGGTGACAGCCTGAACTATGAGGTCAAAAAGGAGAAGTGAGGAGGAAGAGGAAGCCCTGGACGAATGGATCCAGGCGATGGAGAAAGTGTTACCTCTGTCCCTCATCTCTACCAAGGGAGGCATCGAGTCCCTCATTTCCCTTTGCTGTACTCTCATTGAAGAACAAAAGAAAAAGGCACAAAGTAGGTTCTCAGAACATCCAGAAGGGGAGTCGGGTAAGGATGGGTGGATGCCATCTCAGGAAAGAAATCACAGGCCAGGTCTCCAGGGGTCTACAGGGGTTTTGCCAACCCTCTTTCATAACAAAAGTATGGTAAGGCTAGGCGTCAGCGTGTTGGGTGGGAACACTGCATCCAAGCTGAGCACTGAGCAGTTCTGAGCTGCCCCTTAGGGTGGCGATAGGGGTGAGGTGAAGATAGGGGCCTGAAGGCGCTTCCTGGAGCTCTGGGAGTAAGGTCAGAAGTCCAAGAAGGCTTAGTTTGTAGCCAGAGCCTGAGGATCATCCTTTCCCCACTCCAAACCCAGGAAGTTTGGTGGGGCTCAGCCAGAGGCCCCTCCAGAGCCTTCCTGATCGTGGATGCTCCTGAGGAGGCTAAACTTGGGGATTTTATTCCTCTTGAAACTGTAAGTGACCTGAGATTATCTAACTCCTGCACTTTGTACCTAAGCACATTGAAGCTCAGAGAAAAAACTGTGGGAAAGCCTATGGCAAAGCCAGGCCCCATGCTCTGTTCCTTGAGAGCATGGGCTATGGCCTCAGACAGATTTCAGTTTGAATCCCATCTCTGCCAATTTTGAGCTATGTGACTTTTGGCAAGTTATTTTATCTCTCTGTGCCTCAGTTTCTTAATATAAGGAAGATGAGGAGGGGCCAGGTGCCAGTGTCTCACACCTGTAATCCTAGCTACTTAGGAGGCAGAGATCAGGAAGATCATGGTTCAAGGCCAGCCCAGGTAAATAGTGTGCAATAGTCTATCTCGAAAATACCCAACACAAAAAAGGGCTGGTAGAGTGGCTCAAGTGGTAGAGGACCTGCCTAGCAAGTGTGAGGCCCTGAGTTCAAATCCTAGTACTGCCAAAAAAATGCAGGGTTATGGGGAGGATTCTATAATGGTGTGAGGTATCTGCCCCATGCTTGGAACATGTTCAGAGCTTAATAAACAATAGCTGGCATTAGCATTTCCACTGACTCTCATGGACAGGTTCATGTGAATTAAGACTGAAAGTTGGGGAGAAAGGTAAGGCAAGGAAAAAAATGGATGTTGAGATGATCTTTCCTGCAATCTTTATCATACTATGTCTTAAAACATAGTTATTTGTGCATTTGGCTTATTTCCTCTCCAGACCATAAACTCCTGAAGGAGTGTCCTATTTCTTTCTTTTAAGAGATTATTTACTGAGTACTTACTAGGGACCTAGTATTGTACTTGATACTAAATGTGCATAATCTAATCAAGTCCTATGAAGTAGGTGTCATGAGTATCCCCATTTTTCAGATGTGGAAACTGGGGCACTGAGAAGTGAGGAAACCTACTCAAGGCAAGCGAAAAAAAAATGATATTCAGATCCAAGTTATCTGATTCCAGAAGTTAAGTTCTGGGTCACTGGGCCATATGGCCTCTCCAATAGTACCAGCTAGATGCTAGCTTGACCCCAGAATTACTTCATTTCCATATTTCCTCCTGTGCCTCATCCAAAATTAGACACTGGTTTTTTCTCTGCCAGTGATACTTGAATAGATGATGATCACTCCACCAGCCCTCCACATAGCAGGTCCAAGAGGATATGACCACTCTGGGAAGGATTGAGGTCTGTAAGTGGGGTTGAACTCAGCACATACAATCTGTGCTTTGTGCATTTTCCTGGGGAGAGGGTCCTGTACTTTCATCAGAATATCAAAGGAGTTTGTGACCCCCAAACTGGAAAAAGGCAATCACTTTCTTTAAAAAAAATGTGAAGGAAAAGGACTGCAATAAATTCTCTAAAGGCACAGTCCAAGGGTAGCAGGAAGAAAAGTGAAGCTTCTTAGGTAGACTAAGGGGTTCAGATAGTTGGCATGAGGGAGCCAAGCACAGATACTGAGGCTAGAAATGAGCATGATTAGAAAAATAACTGTCCTCTAGGACAATATGGAGGATCAGGAGTATATTGAACTGAGTGGAACTGAATTGACTATTCCAGGCCCCTCCGAGCTCTGTAGGCTCTGTGGAGCTGACAGACCTGAGGTGAGCTCTGGACAAGCTCGGGCCCAGCAGAGGTGTCTCCTGACAACATCTCCCTGGCTCACAGTCCATCTTCTTCTTGTCCAGTCCCAAAGAGGAATGGATGAGTATTTTAGCCAAGCAGGGTATAGAGAATCATAATTCTCAGAGGGTTTGTCACCTCTTCATGTGAGCTTGTTGGCTTTTTTCTCTTCACTTCTCCCAGGGCCCATACACACCTTCTGGCAAGACTGGTTAGAGAAAAGCCCAGAAAAATCTACACCTCACTCTCAGCCACTGAGTCCAGAACAGATGCTCCAGGACAAGAACATCACCTGCACAAAGGTGTCTGAGGTGAAGTCCATGCTGCAGGAGCTCCTGGACTCTACTATATTCAGCAAGGGGCAGATCAAGATTATCAAATACATGTCCACTGTGGTGGAAAACCTCAACAAGGCCTTGATCCTCCAGCACAAAGAGAATAGGAGCCTGGAGACCAAATACAGGTACCTGCAGACATTGATGACCAAAGGGCTCAGCAGTCAGAGAATACACTTCCAGAAATCTATTAAACTCCTTGAGAGCAAGAGGGATGCTCTGCTAAAGCAGGTAGAGGCTCTAGGCAGAAAATACCATGACCTCCTCCTGATAAAGCATGCCCTAGAATTCCAGCTGAAGCAGGCTCAGACTGCTAGAGGCCAAGCAGAAGACTTAGCCGAGGTTCCTGTTGATTTCCCAGAGTTCCCTGAAGAAGGGGCCTTTCCAAAGGAGGGAATAGTCATGGGGGAAACCCAACAGGAGCCCAAGGAGGAGGAGCACTTATTTTCATTACTTTCCACAGCCTGGGATAGTGGGGCTACACCTTCAACAAGGCCACTCTCCACCATGCCCCTACAGTCAAGGATTGCAGATGTGTTTAGCAGCAAGGACACTGAAAGCCTTGTGCCTATGCTGCCACTCTCAGAGGGTTACCAGTCTCCTACTGAATGGGAAAGACAGGTGGCAGAAGGCTTAGGCCATGAAGACCAAGACCAGGAAGACCACTTCCAGGAAAAAGAAGGAGTCCAAATTAAATTCTATATTAACAAGGTCCTGTCCCAACAGAGCTCTGAGAAGGTGCCCTTGGAGAACCAACTGGAGCAGGAGCATGGGGAGGAGGAACTCAGCTGGGAAAGGCGGAGGCAGCAGTGGCTGCAGGAGGAGGAGATGTGGCTGCAGCGGCAGAAGAAGTGGGCCCTGCTGGAGCAAGAGCATGCGGAGAAGCTGCGGCAGTGGGAGAGGGAGGAGGCCAGCAGGTGGCAGCAGCAGCAGAGACTCACCCACCTCAAAGAGGAGCGACAGAGCCCAAGGAAGGGACCAGAGGAGCCAAGGGACAATGGAGAGAGGCAGATCTTCACCACCACCAGTCAGTGGAGAAACTTGGAGAAGGTGGAGCCATTGCCAGTGCCTCCCCCAAGCCCATCCCAGTCTGCTTGTCTAGCCAGGAAGCCATGCTTGCCCAAGACCCCACGTACCCTGCAGCCGGCCCTGGGAAACCAGAGGGCCATGAGTTCAGTTGAGTTCACCCAGACGCTGCGGGCTGGCCAGGTTCCCACCAAGCCCAAGAAATCCTCTTTTCCCATAACTGGGACATCCATTCGAAGGGTGACCCGGCCCTCTATACAGAAAGTTCCTGTTGCCCCTAAGGAGAAGGAGTACCATATAGACATGGAGTCCCAGAGGAAGAACCTGCAGCTCCTGAAAGGGGAGCTGGAGCTGGGGCTGCCACACACTCTCCGCAGCAAGGTCCTGGAGCTCATCACCACCACCATGGAGCTGGGCACCCTCAGGCTGCAGTGCCTGTGCCAGAAGTACATCCTCTACAGACACTTCCAGAGTCTCCGGTAGGTGTCCCACAGCCACATGGCATCCACACCACCCTCTGCAATATGGGGCAGAACCAAAACCCAGAGGGAGAGGAATAGGGCAAGTGGTCTCTGGGGAACCACCCAGGCCTGGACAAGGCCTGCAGAGGGAGGGGACTGGCAAAGACTGTCTGGCCTTGGGCCCAGACAACCCTCAAAGGCCTGGGAGGTAGGGCATTTAGGTGCTGCTCTCCTTGTAGGGGGCTTTTCCTCAAGCTCACCTCTTCCTCAGTGATAGGAATATTATCCTGCCCATTCTTATCATTTGGTTGACTTTTCTTGTTTCCAGCCCAGCCCTGAAGCTCCTCACTTCATCCCACCTTCCACTTTTCTGCTCCCTATTTTCCCTAGCTCTCATCCATCTCCATTTCTGTTGTTCCCAGGAATTGCAGAAAACAGATATGTCTAGAAAACCTATTTGGAAGGAAGAGGAGGCTCTCCATTCACTAAATCACTTCTCTTCCCAGACTAGAAGTGATCAACCACATACAAGTCATGCAAGAAATGGGGACTACCTACAAGGCCCAGAGCCTGTACATCTTCCTGGAAAACATTGATCGCCAGCAGAAACTCAGTCTGCAGGCCTGGACAGACAAGCAGAAAGATGTGGAGGTGAAGCGACGGGAGTGCCTGAGCAGCATGGTGGCCGTGTTCCCCAAGGTGGGCCTCCTGCCCTACTGCTTACTGGGGAGGTCAGGGGGGATCAGCCCAGTCAATAGGGATAGGAACCAGGACATGAGCCAGTGGGGCTATGGGGTGTGACTAGGTGAGGGAGCATATGGGAAATGAGAGTGTGGATTTAGGCCTCTGAACCAAGAAGAGGTGAAGATGAGAAGTGGCCTGAGTATACTGAAGGGCAGCTTTCAGTCTATGCTTTTGGAGAAAGCAAGCGAGAAGGACACTCTTCAAAAAGCTGTGGACTAGGCTGGGAGCATAGCTTGAGTGGTAGAGGGCTTGGCTAGCAACCATGAGGTCCACGGTTCAAACCTCAGTACCAGCAAAAAAGAGCTGTGGACTGACTGGCTCTATCTGCAGTGTGTAACTAAATTGTATCTTCAGAAAACAGAAAACTACAAACAAAACAAAACAAAAAAGAGCTGTGGAAACAGATTCCCCAGGAGAGAGGGGAGGGTAGCTGGGCCCTATAGTCCTGCCTTTGTGCTGGGATTCGCCCTACCCTGTGATTCTCTCTGCTCTGTTCCCATCAGTTCTGGTTGCCCTCCAGGCTTGGGCACAGCTGTCTTCACTTCTTGTAGGAGACTCGCTTACTTCTCTGTGCTTCTTCCTTGCTTTCTAGATTCCAGGTCTCTTTCTTGATTCACTTCTTTGTTTTAGTGGAGGTCTCTTCTAGGCACTTCCTGATGAAGGGTGCATAGGAAGGGAAATCATTGAGACCGTGGCCATTTGAAAGCGTCTTTACCTAAGAGTTGCCCTTACTCCTAATTGATAGGCTACCTACATACGGGATGTCAAGGTAGGCTCCACCTTCCCTCTGAATTTTGAATTTTGCAGGCTCTACTCACTGCCTTCTGGGTTGTGATGTTGCTGTTGAGAGCCCAAAGTCATTCTGAGTTCTGATATTTGGTTTGATCTTATTTTTGCTCTGTGGGAGCTGACAGGAGGTCTCCTAATCTCTCTCTCTCTCCCCTCCCCATGTCTGTGTGTGGGTATGTGTTTATTGTTTCATAATTTCATAATGATGTGACTGATGTGGACCTATGTTTACCAACTTTATTGGGTATTTAGTCAATCATTTAATTTGGAAACTTAAGTCCTTTAGCTCTGGCAGCTATTCTCAAATAATACATTAGATTAGCAGTTCTCCAAGGTGGTCTGCTGACCTTAGGATCCTGTAAATCTTTTCAGGGGTTCTGTTTATTTGTTTATGTATAATAAATTTTATTGTGTATATTTAAGATATACAACATGATGTAATAAGATATATGTGTACTGTAAAATCATCACCTCACATAATTTCCCATTTTTTCTTCTGTGGCAAGAGAAGCTATAATCTACCAATTTAGCAAAAATTCTAAATGCAATCTGCTATTATTCACTAAATCTTCATGTTGTACTTTAGGTCTTTAGACTTGATTATCCTACCTATTTTTTACTTTATATTCTTTGACATATATCTCCCCAGTTCCTGTGCCACACCCCAAATCTGGTCATCATTGTTTTATTTTTCTATCTCTATTTCTGTATACATGACTTTTTAGTTTTAGATTCTAAATATACATGTGAGATCATGTAGCATTTTTCCTTTGTGTCTGGCTTATTTCTCTTAGCATACTGTCCTCCAGGTCCAGCATTCTGTGACACATAGCAGGATCTTCTCCTTCTTGGGGGCTGGGAGTGTAACTCAGTGGGTAGAGTACTTACCTAGCATCCATGAGGCCCTGGGTTCGATCACTAACAACACACACACACACACACACACACACATGTGCAAATAGTCATTTTTTAAAAGGTCAATAATCCATTGCACACGTAAATGAATATGCTCATCACTGTTTATCTGTTCATTCACTAATGGACACCTAGGTTGTTTCCGTGTCATTTTTTTTTTTTTTTTGAGATAGGGTTTTGCTTTGTAGCTCAGGCTAGCCTCAAACTTACCACCCTCCTGCTTCGGCCTACTGAGTGCTAGTATTAGAGACATGCACCACCATACCTGGATCAGCTTTAGTATGTCTAAACAGAATTTGGAGTTGGGCACCAGTGACTCACACCTAGAATCCTAGGTGCCTTGGAGGCTGAAATTGGGAGGATCACAGCTTGAGGCCTGCCCAGGCAAATAGTACTCCAGATCCCATCTCCAAAATAACCAGAGAAAAAACAGACTGGAGGCATGGCTCAAGCTATAGAGTGCCTGCTTGCGAGCACGAAGCCATGAGTTCAAACTCCAGTGGGACTGGAGTTTTCAATAATATTTTTGCTGGATCTAGAATTCTAGTGGACAGATTTTACTTTCAGTACTTTTCCTAGTGATGTGAGCTCTAAGGACTATCCCTTCTGCCCAGCATTTATTTTTCCAGCCTCAATGTTTGCTCCCATGCCTGCTCTAAGGCCTGAGGGGCCCTCTCTGCAGGGCTCTGGAGCTTTCTGGTGGTATCTATCATTTCTTCCTCATTGTTATCTGGTTTGAAAATTCTAAACACCTTGGCTTCCCTGAATTCTGAACAAATGCTGTGTCATCTACCCAGAGGCTGTTGGGCTCTGCTTAGGGTCCCTGCCCTTGCTGTGGTCTGGATACTTGCTCACAGGATTCCTTTCTCTTGGAGGTCACTGACCAGCACTGCTTGTTGTTTGAATGTCTGGAGATCATTTTTCATATATTTTGTTAGGCATCCTAGTTCTTTAAGGCAAAAAGGTAAACTGGTCTCTGCTAGCTATTCCATTACCACCAGGATCCATTTTTAATGTCAAGTTCCAAGGATTCCTATTAGATAGTAGTTATTTATTCCATGTATGATTTTTGGTATGTACCTGTATTCTTGGACCCTTTGCAAAAAAATCCATCACTATTCAGGGTACTATGCCCATGGGTTAGAAACCACTGGTCCAGGCCAACAGAATTAGAGTATTACTCTCTGTACCTAGGGCCTATCATCTTTTCCATATCGTTGCTGAAAACTCACATTTGCCCCCTGGAAACTGGCACTAGGGAAAACAAACTTTGTTCTTTCCAACCTACCTAACTTTCCTTGCAGAATTCAGAGAGGTAACCATCCAAAATGTGCAGAAGACCCAATCCTAACATTCATGTATCAAGTGTACCACAAATAAATCCCAAAGTGCTATGTGACCCAGTTTTACCATTGTATCCTATTTGCAGACACAAAACTCAACAGTCAAAAACAATGAGAAAGTAGCTCCCGAACATGGGCAAGTCACTGGGCTTGATTCCTAGCACCACAAACAAAACAAATCAAAAACGTAACTTTTTTTTTTTGGTGGTTCTGGGTTCTGAACTCAGGGCCTCACACTTGCTAGGCAGGTGGTCTATCACTTGAGCCACTCCATCAGCCCTTTTTTGTGATGGGTTTTTTCAGGATAGAGTCTGACGAACTATTTGCCTGGGCTGACTTCAAACCGAGACCCTCCTAATCTCTACCTCTTGAGTGCCTAAGATTACAGGTGTGATCCACAGGTACCCGGTATCGTTATACTTTTACGTGACTGGCAGCACAGGTTTGTATACACCAGCATCACTTGAACACTGACGAATGCCTTGTGCTACAGCATTGTGATAGGTACAGTGTCACTAGGTGATAGGAAATTTTCAGTTCTATTATAATCTTATGTGTCTGCTGTCATATATTGTCCATTGATAGCACAAACATTGTTTAAGTTTGTGACTATATGTAACAGTCAAAAGAAAGGAGATAGGAGCCATCGATTCCATTTATTCCCTACCCCCAAGGCTTTTGGTTTGTTCGTTCGTTTGGCAGTATAAGGTTTGGACTCAAAGTCTTGCACTGTACCACTGGAGCCAAGCCGCCTATCCTGTCTCAAAATTTTAGCTATCATCATTTTGGCCTTAGGAGGGTTGGCTTTTTTTTTTAATTTCTGTACTATTTCATACTTTCAATTATTATTTTAGAGTGTACTCCCCCTTCTTAAAAAATAAAAATTTACTATGAAGCAATACGCTGTGTTACATCAGTGCAACCGCACATATTTCATTTTACCATTTCTCTTGGTTTTTTTTTTTTTTTTTTTTTATGGTGGGCCTGGAGTTTGAACTCAGGGCTTTGTGCTTACAAAGCAGACTTGAGTCATACTTCCAGTCCATTTTGTTCTGGTTAGTTTGGAGATGGAGTCTTTCGAACTATTTGCCGGGTTGGCTTCGAACTATAATCCTCCTGATCTCAGCCTCCCAAGTCGCTAGTATTACAGGAGTAAGCCACCAGCACCGACTCTTACCATGTCTCTTGATTGCATCAAGAGGCTGAGTCAACTGATGAACCCACACCATACAGGCTCAAGTACACTGTATGATGTTTACACTATGACAAAGTGGCCCAATGTGATATGTTGAAGTGTGTGTCCTATTGCTAAGCAATGCATGCCAATATATATATTTAGCTTCTCTGCCTTCTAATTTTTTTCACTGCTGTTCTTCCCATTTTCTAGATTCTGAAAAATAGGAAATACCTGTAAAATAGGAAATATTTCCTATTTTATAGAGATAGAAAAATTTTCCCTAGAAAATAGGAAAGAACCCAGATAATAAGAATTGATACCTTTTAGGAATATTAATAGTTTTGTCCCTATTATATGAGAGTTGACTATGTCCCTGTGCATCTTGTAATGCATCTTATAATGGGAATAGCTCTCTGCACTAGCCATGAGGATTAGACTTTTCCTTGCCACAGTCTTCATCTGTAGATACCCCATGCATATCTGTGAGATGAGCAGCCCTCAGCTCCAGATCTGAGACTCCTGAAGGGTTAGTAAAGGAGAACAAGTTTCAATTGCCTGCACTTTTCCCCAGATATTCAGGGGCAGAGAAGTAGCAAGTACTGGCATGCTCTATAGGGGGACCACGGGCAGCCTGGAAGGATTGCAGAAATTCCTTCAGTAGTGACTCAGAACTGCTGGGATGTGTCCTGGGTTGGATAGGAGGTGCTGGCATTGGGCAGTGAGAAGGACCTAGGCCTGATCCATATGTCTCCTTGCAGCAGTCCTGACAGATAATCTTCTGTTGTAGACCTGACTTGATAAACTCATTTGGGGTTCAAAAGAACTGGACCATATGGCAATTCTTTGGTGGCTGTGAAGGTTTCCCCAGCTCCTTGCCCAGCACCAGTGCTGAGTCTTGGTTTAAAGCTACCCAGTGTACTCCAGGCACCACCTGGTCCCGTGTTGTGACCCCTGCAATGCTCTCGTGACTTGCACCGCCCTGGTTTCTATTAGTTTTCTTCCTTCTGTTCTGTCCATTGTCCAGATTCTTCACAACAAAGGAGAAAACGAACTAACCCAGCAAATAAAAAATTGAACGAATTTCTAGGAAAGGTCTGCCATGCAGGGGTCCCAGGTTTTCTAACTAGTGGAATTCCCTGAGCCTTGCCCTCTCCTTGAAGGGTACCAACGATCAGACAAGAGCTGGCTCAAATGTTAGAGAGTCTGTTTTGCAAGCTTGAAGCCCTGAGTTCAAACCCCAGTTCCACCAGAAAATAATTAAGGTCAGGTCTGACTGTCAGGCAAGGTCTTCTCTTGTCCTTGAGAGGAATAAATTCCCATCTCCCTGTTGCCTTTTGTTGGTTCCTATCTAGCTCCAGCTGGAGTGGAATGTTCATCTGAACATCCCTGTGGTCACCTTCCCGAAGCCAAGGAAAAACAAGTCATCCCCAGTCTTCCGTCCCCAGCATGTCCGCTACAGTGGCTCCACCTGCAAGCAGCCCTTCCTGTCCAAGCACCAAAAATGCGTGCCCCTGCGGATGGCCAGGTAGGTACTGAGAAGCTGAGAGGCAGCCAGCTGGGTGGGTGGGGAGGTAGGGAGCATGGGTGGCCAGTCTGGGAGGTGGGCAACAAGATAAAGGCACAAATAGGCTGCAAGGTAGCCATCTTCTTCTCAGCTGCCCTGCCCAGTTCTGATGCACTGACCCAGAGGTGGTGAGTGTGTGGTGATGTGTGGCCTTCAGAGGCTAGCCTGACTGTGTTTCAAACTATGCAAATGAAAGACTCTTGACAACCCACAGATGAAAACTTACAACCATTTCTACCTGAGCATTGACCCAGCATCTGCCATTGGTGTCCACATAAACAAGGCTGATTCTTCCCACTGTGACTGCCAAGGTTCAAACAGAGACAATTTGAACCTCTGGGCATCCAAGATGCATATCCAAATCCACCCAAGATGGCCTGATTCAGGGCTTCAACTACAGGATATGTGCCTGGAAGCACAGGGTACTCCGAGAGTCCCTTTCAGCAGCCACTCATCCAGAATGGCCCCAGAAAAGTGAGACATAGAGCCCATGTTGGGGAGGGGAGGGCTGACAAGGAAGGCAGCCACAAATTCTATACGAGAAGGGAAGAAAACAAGGCCCAGTATCTTGGGCATTGTGGCCCTGAAAAGCTTGTGACTTTTCAGTTTCTCTCTCTTTATCTATCTCTCTAAACTCTGAGAGTTTTTTTTTTTTTTTGACATTCTCTGCATCCTTCCACCCATAGCCAAAAGGGGAATCAGATGGAGGCTGTTTGGAAGGCTGATGTGGCCTCCTCTAGTCATCCAATAGAAAAGAAGACCCCTGCCAGCCTGCTCTGGGACCAAGTAGCGGGATATCCAGATATCCCCTGGCTCTTGGCAGTGGATGAACATTCTTCCTACCACAGAAGCTTGATGCCCCACAAGGCCCAGTAAGTGGCAAACCTGGGTGCTTAATCTGGACTCAGGGAGATCTGTCCACCAAAGGTACAATGTCCCTGTTCAACACCCTAGCAGTGTCTTCCAAACACTAGTCATGGCCTCAATTATTGTATCACATCAGACAAGAGACACTAACCTGCCAGGCACCAGTGACTCATGCCTATAATTTTAGCTACTACTGAGGCTGAGATCAGGAAGATCGCAGCTCGAGGCCAGCTGGGGCAAATAGTTTGAGAGACCCCTATCTCCAAAATAAAAAGAGTAAAATGGACTAAAAGTATGGCTCAAGTGGTAGAGTGCCTGCTTTGCAAGTACAAAGCCCTAAGTTCAAACTCAGTCCCACCAAAATAAGAGATGATAACCTGCCTCACCCATGCACTAGTCATCAGCTTAGGTCCCTAGGCCAATTCCACTCAGTTCTCTCAAAGAACTTTCCCTAGCGCCTAGAAAATCATTACAGGAGCTTTACCTTCATGCTAGTTTTCTGGGCTGTACATGAACCTCTCTGGAGCCCTGTCTTGTCCGTGGTCTGGGGATTGTTCTCAGGGAAAACCAGGTGGAAAAATGGAGAGGGATCCCATGAATCTCATGACAACTCAGAGCTTTGGGGCTAGGCCCATCTTTACCATTTTCGTTTCCTTACTGCCTTTAAGAACTATCCCTGGGAAAAGCAACTGAGGGGAGGGCAGCAGGACTCAGTAGACCAGCAGGCTTTTCTGGTTAGAACAGGTTCAGCTCTCCTTTGCCTCTTTTGGTTTAAAGATGTCACTACTAAGTCTCAAGGCTCTTTCAAAAGGCCTTTCCAGATTACCCATCCCATCTGCCTCTTGTAGCCCTGGCCCTATCCTATTAAAGGTCTCTGACAGAGAAAGGCTCTGATAGCTGCCAGTCTAACCTAGCCTGAACGAAGAGATGTAAGATGCAAGTGCTGCTCCATCCTTCCAAAGGGGACTTAGGTAAGACAGGATGTCAGAGCAGCATCAGAGAAGGCCAGGACCTGACTGTGCCTCTGCTCCAAAATGACCTGAGTGTCTCAACAGCATGATAGCCCATCTAGTACATTCCATGACAGTTCCCGAGGAGAGTGTGTGATGTTAGTTGATTTGGATATAGCAAACAGAGCTGAGAATATCCAAAACAACATAGCTTAAGAACCCAGAAGTCATTGGGTCCTCCTATGGTACTCCTTCTATGTCTCTTCCCTGACCCATGCCAGTGCCTGGGCTCTGCCCGGGTCTGTGGGAACCTGAGGCCTCCACTTTGTCCTTCCCCCACACACAGAAATATACACATAAATATCTGATGTACACAGTGTACTTGACCCCAAGTACTCATGGCATTAGGATTTTTCTGTAAATGTAAGTGCGTAACAGAGAAAGGGATTCACACTGAACAGCATCTGACAGCAGCCTTTTTCCCTTCTTTTTTTGCCCACTTTCTTTTGGTATAACATGCAAAATTCTAAGATCCCTTCATGTCTTAAGCAAAGCTGTTCCACCCACACCCGGGCCTCCACTGGGATCTCAGCTGCAGGCTGAAGCACTTATCAAAATATTGTTCCCAGAAAAGACAGCTTCCCCTTTCTAAGGGAATTTAGGTGAAGACAATTTTCTTCCCCCTTTTCCAACTCTATACAAGATTATTCAATTTATCACGCTACCAGGTGTAAAGGTAAGAGCCCTGTTTCTTCTGTCTTCCTCATCTGTACTCCAGGTGAAATTACCTCCCTGCATGTCACGCTGCTCCTTGGCACTTTGTTGTAGGGGCTCTCACATTGCCTTAGGACCCCATAATCACAGTGTAAGGGCTGCCAGTCTTTTTTTTTTTATGGTACTGAGGTTTGAACTCAGGGCCTCACACTTGCTAAGCAGGTGCTCTACCACTTGAATTATGCCCCTAGCCCTTTTTTGCTTTAGTTATTTCTCAATAGGGTCTTGCATTTTTCTCTCGCTGTCCTGGACAGTGATCCTTCTATTTATGCCTGCATAGCTGGAATCACAGGTGTGAACCACCATGACCAGTTTATCGATTGAGATGGTGTCTCTGTAACTTTTTGCTTGGGCTGGACTTGAAATGAGATGCTGCCTGATCTCTGCATGGCAGCACAAGCCACCATGCTCTGTCACTGCCCAGGCTGTTGCTGCTCAGGGCCTGCAGTCACTCTGTGAGCAATTTGTGCATGTGGCCTCCTGGAGGCACACTTTGCCTCCACTTCCAAAAGTACATCTTCCTTTGCCACCAGGATTCCCTACATCCACTGCCGAATGGCTCCAAGGTCACCCAGTTCTTTGTGTTCCTGCTGACCTCTCCAACAACTCTGGCCCTACTGTCCAGTTCATAGCACTGTCAAGTTTGATAACGGGGACTGACTTTACATCTATTGCCCCATTGTCCTGGTCTGCTTGGCATTGACAGCCTGTCATTTCCAGGCCCGTGGGAGTGTCCTCTCAGCACGTGGGGAAGGACAATATCCTTCTGTGGTTTGAGACCCCAGAAACCACAGAGGCTGGAGACTCCCATGCCAAGGCTTTGTCTCATTTACTCCCCCTACTCCCTTCTAACTATATTGACTATTTCAGTGCCTCAGTGACCAAAAGGAAGGAATGCCAGGAACCCACAGAGGAGCTAGCTGAGCTTGTCTGCAAAAAATCGAGCGAGTCACTCCCTGGAACCCTACAAAGCCAGAAGGCTCGAGACAGCTCCAGTCCTCATTCCGTTCCTTAGTCAGTGATTCTCAAACTTCAAGGTGATTAATAATCACATGGGGGCTTGTTCCAAATGCAGGTTCCCAGCTGGTGCTTTTAAACAAACACTCTGGGTGTTACTACATCATCCTAGAACTTTGAGAAACACTATTTTCTTCCTTCAGTCCCCAAAGTGTACATTTTTAATAAAATAGAGGTTGATTTATTTTAAAATATTCAGTCTCATTGCTAAAACCCACATTCCTTGAGTCGTTTTTGGAACCAGGTCCATGGTTATCCTGATGCTGAGCTGGGAAAGGATTAGGTTGTTTCTGTCCTTAGGGAGCCAACAAGCCAAATTGACCATATTTAGTGCCTGGCACATAGTTGGTGTTAGTAATTCTTCATTTAATCAAAACGTGGACAAAAAAATAACTCTCATACCAGTGATCAGCTTGACAGCACAGAAGAACAAAAGGAGATGTTAAATATAAGTCAAGGCCAAGTGCCATGAGGTGGCAGGCAAAGGTGAGTGCACTTTGGGGGAGTGGGGACAAAGGTGGAAGAAATGGAGACGACAGAGGTTCCAAATCTAGATGGTGTGGGCCCATTCAGTGGAGACTCTGCTTTGGTTAATCCACTCAGTTTATAAGCACCTGACCACACTCATCCTTCCTGGCAACAGCTGTCCACTCAGTCTTACCCACTCTCCTCCTCCACTCATGCAGCCGTACCTGTCCTAGGGATCAGGCATAGTAAGTAGAAACTTGTCCTAAGAGAACTCAGGCTCTCTTTCTCAGGAATGAAGCCAATCCTTGCTTCTAGCTTGAGCTTGAGATTCCAGGAACAAGAGGAAGATGTGGGATGTGAACAGCTGGTTCCGTGGGTGGTTTCAGGAATAGGATTTGATTTCTGAGTCACAGCTTCAGGTAATACAAGAATTCCTGGTCAGGGAAGAAGGTGAAGACATTCAGATGCAGGTCACATACAGGATGGTTGGGGCAGAAAGGGGCGGTTTCTAGCCTCTGGGGTCCCAGGCTTGCTCTTTTTAGGAAGCCCCACTCCAATTATTTTTATTTTTATTTTTATTTTTGGTGATACTAGGGTCTTAACTCAGGGCCTTGTGCTTGCTAGGCAGGTGCTCTACCACTTGAGCCCAGCCTCAACTCAATTATATCCAACATATTAAAATGCTTTCACAGCCAGGTGTGGTGGTACATACCTGTAATTGCAGCATTTGGGAGGCTAAGGCAGGACAGTTGAGAGTTTGAAGCTAGCCTGGGCTACATAGTGAGACTTTGTCCCAAACACACACAAAAAGACTCACATTAAATGTATTGCATTAGGCTGGTGTCAAGGCTCAAATGGTAGAGTGCTTGTCTAGCAAGCACGAAGCCCTGAGTTCAAACCCCAGTACTGCCAAAAAAAAAAAAATTAAAAAGTATTGCTCTAAATAGTTTGAAAGGATTTTTATAACCTTGCTTTGGAAATTAACCAGCTATGAGTAACTTATTTAATGTGTAGTTGGCTGTGACTTCCTTTGCACTCATCATGAATAAAGATAAAATCTAAAAAGTTTTGCAAATGTAATAAGAATATTTTGAATATTAAATTTGACAGAGTGAAGCTGATATTATGTTTTATTAACATTTTATATATATATATATATATATATATATATATATATATATATATATATGTATGTATATGTACACACATGCTTTACATTTTGGTACCAATAACACTTTTAAAGATTTTCACGGGTGTTGTCACTGTGCTTAAGGTGCCTAGTAGCTAAACCTGCTCTGGTGATGGAGGACTTTGACTTTCTGGATATCTTCTAGAAAGTTCTCTGGCAAGCAAGTGGTCTCTGACAAATTATTCTCCTGTCTTTCCAACAATTTAATCTCTTTATTAAACTGATAAGAACAGATACTACACTTGATCTTAGCCAAAAGGCCGAGAAGCGATAATTTAATCTCTTTAAAGGCAAAGAAGGTCTGGGTAGGCCAAGGTATAAAGTCAAGAGGGTTGGAAAACATATATATGTATACATGTATATGTGTGTATATATAACCTTGGGTATATAAATATGTATTATTATAATAATAATATTGTATTTTATATAGTATAATATAATGTATATGTATACTTGTGTGAATATAAGTACATATATTCATATGTCACATAACATTTGGTCAATGATGGACTGCATATATGACAGTAATCCCATAAGATTATATCACCTAGTGATATCATAGCTACTAGTACACTCTGTGTTGTTCTCACAGTGACAAAATCACCTAGCAATGCATTTCTCAGACTATATCCCTGTTATTAAGCTATGCATGACTATATATATATATATATATATATATATGTATGTAGTGTTTTTCTAGCAATTGATATTATACACAAGCCTTATTTTTTCTATCAGAGAACAGTTGATATACCTGGCCAAATAAAACTATGTCTCCAATCCCAAAAATATCAGGGAAGCCAAAGCATGAAAAGAAGGATATTTTCAAGTTATATTTGGGAGTTGGCCATAGTGCTGCTTGCACGGCCCATGACCTCACAAGCCTCCAAGATAAGAAAATAAAACTAATGTTGAAGGGGACCTAGGGAAGGATCTACTTAGCCCTAAGTGTGACTGCAAAGAGGTTTGAAGTGAAAGGGACAAAAACCCTTTAGAAACAACCCAGCTGAAGACCAGGGAGGGAGAAGCCCCACACAGTCTGATATGGTCCACTTATTATAGGAGGCTGACTTGGAAAGGTCAGAAAGAAGATAATCATAACTTAATGATGGTAGGACTCATCCTCTCAAGAAGAGAGATGTCCATGGCTAAGATGTTACAACTATCAGTTGGCAACTGTGAAGTAGCTGTATTTAATATGTTGAAGGATCTAGCTTTGGTAGAAAAGGTGGAGTTGTCCACATGTGTGAGGTGGAGTTACACACAGGCATGAGTAAATGGAGAGTCTGAATACAGAGTAGGAAAAAAAAAACAAGTGGAAAGATAGAAATGCTAAAAATGAAAAAACACTAGAAATGAAAAAACAACAGAGATGAAGAATTCCTTTGACAGGATTATTAACAAACTAGACAACAGCAAAGGGGGAAAAGATCCATGAACTTGAAGCTAGGTCAATAGAAATTAACCAAACTGTAACACACAGTAGAAACAAATGAACAATTCCAAAACTAACTCAAGCTGTGTGGGACAGTGTCAAATGGTCTAACACATGATCAAAGTCCCTGAAGGAGAAGGCAGAAGGAATATGTGAAGAGATATTTGAAGAGATAATCACTGATAATTTCTCAAAGTAATGAAAGAACAAACCTCAGATTCAAGGAGCTCAGAGAACCCAAATGGTAAATACAAAGAGAAACAACACACCTAAGCATATCATAGTGAAACTGCTGAAGCCAAAGAGAAGAGAACATCTTGAAAGCAACCAGAAAGAAGTCCCAGGGCTGGAGGTGTAGTTCAGTGGCTGAGGGCTTGCCTAGCATGAGTGAGACCCTAGATTTGATCCCCAGCACTGAAGAGGGAGAAAAAACATAAGAACATAAGAAATAAAACAGCCTTCTCACTAAAGACTTTGGCAGTCAGATGGCTCCTGAGGCCCACTTGTTTCTCTGTCTCATGGGTCCACAAAATAACTCAGTTTCCCTGATATTAGCGTAGACAGGTTTCTATTGACTGCAGAACAGTGGGTACTAAGTTGTACCCCACAGGGCAGGGGGCTCTCCAGTTCTCCACAGGCCCTAGTCCTCCTTTCTGTATCACCCACTGTGAGGCCCTGAACTGGCTGGAGACTTCATAACCCTGAAATGACTATTTATTGGCTTCAAGCTGGGAGGAGATGTAGGAGTGAAGGCGGGATATGCTACTCACTAACCTGAATGTCTCCCAAGGCAGGCCCTGGGATCTGCCTGCTACCCCACATTCTTTCCCTGGAGCTGACCAGCATGGAACAACCAAAGCCTGAGTGCAGATAGCACACCGGCCAGGGCTCAGCTGAGGGGAAGTCATTGCCTTTGCTGACAGTTTCTGTGAGAGGCAGCAGTTGTTAATTAATCAAGTGTCCTCTCCAATCACCTGTTTCTCCATGGCACTGTGGAGTCTTCCAAGATCCCTGTGTGGATTCTGTTACCTCATTTTCTGGAAAAAGAGTTCCTTTACTACAAGAGCCCACTAGGAGGCAGCAAAGTGCCCGTCTAAGGCCCTGGGGCCTGGACCAGGAGAGAGGAGGAACTGAAAGCTGGAAACTGCTGAAAGGTGGACATGATGGCAGGGGGCAGGGTCCACCTGGCAAGGTACTGGGCTGAGCATGTGTGGTGAAGGGAGACAAGGGATTCCTAACCTACCCTCTGGACATCTGGATCATGCAGATGATTTGTGGCAACCAGAGTCTTCTCTCCCTCAGCTGCCTCTTCCTCCTTACTCTCCAGCAGGTCCTCAGCTCTGTAGTGCAGAGATTAGTCCTGCAAATAATTCTTTAGGCAACTATTTTTAGGATCTCTTCCAGGAAACCCTTCCTATAGAATTCTTCACACGAGTCAGGTCTTTGTACATTCATTCATTTAACAAATATCTATTGGGCACCTAACACTAGGCAATGTTCTAGGTCTTAGGGATACAGTAGTGAATAAAATAGATTTTAAAAAAGTTCTTTCATGGAGCTTGCATTCTATGGAAGGGACAACGAACAAAAATAAATTAGTAAAATACACAGTCAGATAGTAAAAAGTGCCACGGAGAAACACAAACTTCAAAAGAGGAGTATGATTCCAGAATGTAAGGGTTGCAATTTAACATAAAGAGGTCACTAAGGGCCTCACTGCGGTGACATTTGAGTAAAGACTTAAAGAAGGTTAGCAGAGCATGGTAGTGTATAACTATAATCCCAGCACTTGGAAGACTGAGGCAAGAGGATTAAACATTCGAGGTCAGCCTGGGCTACACAGGGGTTACACAGCAAGACCCTGTCTCAAAAAAAGGAGGAGGAAGGAAATGAGCCATGGAGAAGT